ATAAATGGAACAGATCAGAGAGCTCAGAATAGACTCCCAAACATACAAGCAACTGATCTTTGACAAAGGAGCAAAGACTCACAATGGACCAAAATGGTCTTTTCAACAAATTGATGCTGGAACAACTGTACATCCACATGCAAAAAAAAAAAAAAAAAAAAGAATCCTGGTTCAGACCTGTAAACCCAGCTACTCATGAGGCAGAGATTGGGAGGATCCTGATGCGAGGCCAGTCCAGGCAAAAAGCTAGTGAGACCTCCCATCTTAACACTCAAGCTGCAAGTGGTGGTGTGTGCCTATCATTCCAGCTATAAGGGAGGCAGGCATAAGTAGAAGAATCAAGGTCTGAGGCTGACTTCAGGTAAAAATGTCAGACCCTATCTGAAAACTAACTAGAGCAAAAAAGGGCCAGGGACATGGCTCAAGTGGTAGAATGCCTGCCTAACAAGTTCAAGGCCCTGAGTTCAAACTCCAGTACTGTCAAAAAAAGAAAAAAGAAGAAAAAAAAATCTTGATAGAGAGCTTTCATTCTTTATCAAAATTAACTCAAAATGGATCACAGACCCAAATGTAAAATGCAAAAGGACGCCTAGAAGGTAACAGAAGAATGTCTAGATACTCTTGGATATGGCAAAAATTTTTTAGATTCATTAGTGAAAAAATCCTTAGATACAACAACTCTTCCCAATACTTTGAAACAAATGTTCATTCAAAACAAGCCTCTTTACTGGGAGTGTTTAAAAAATTAACTATGTCTTTGGTACCTAAGGTAGACTGACTAAAAAGTTGGTCAGAGAGGGGGCATGTGAAACTTGTTCTTTTTAACCTTGCAGCAGTTGTTCTGTTTATTATTCATTAAACAGTACAAATATGTTTTCTGCATATATTTTTCAGCAAAAAATAATAAATAGTATGTTTTTAAACATTCCTCCCTTATAAAAACTCCCAAGTAATGAAAATTAAACAAAGCTATCATTTAAATTTATTCATCCTGATTGTCCTTTTAAGGGCTTTAAGGAATACAGATGGGACCAAAGCAAAAATAAATGTAATACTTGAGTGACTCTCATTCACATCTTTCAAGAAAAGTCTTAATGTGGTGAGACAGTTTTAAAAAATATTTTTAGGGGGTAAGAATTTAAAAATTCATATAGTTAAATACTATTTATCTCCTCTCTAAATTTAAAGGGTCTCCTACATAAAATAGAAAAGGCATAAATTCATGTCCATAGTACTTGGCTTTTTTTTTTTAAGTATCTAAGGAAATAGCACTTGTACAGTGCTCTCTGATCTTGTACCTGCAGTGCTTCCCACTCCCTCTGTACCTTTATTGTGCCTCTCACCTCCTCTGGAGAGTGCATGAGAAGCCTCCTCTTGGTTTTGCAGTGGAAGCATGCTGGTGAGTAGTTACTACTTGGCCTTGTTCATCCACTAAGAACAGAATATTGGCAAACTGATTTCACTGTTTACTGCCACTTCACAAATCCCCAAGCCTACTCACCATGTCTCTCTCCAGAAGCTGGCAAAAAATGACCATTCCACTTCCCAAGAGGAGAGTGAGGGGAGCAGTATGTGTTGAGGTCAGCCTGATTTCTCCAATTACAGGTTCATCACCTATGATGTTTGTATAACCTATGGTTATACAAACAGCTTCTTTGTTGTTATCTCTTAGAAATGGAAACTCTTCCAGAGGACATCATTCTATTAATTTGGCCTACGTTATCTGCACTAATACATTCTCCTTTTGGAGGTGTCATTCTGTCATACAAAAACACCAAAATTGAATATGTTTGCCCCTTTTCTGCTTTGAATAACAACAGGAGAATGATTCTGTAGTTGTCAGTTCTTTCAAAGTCTTTCTTAGAAAAAAAAAAAAAACTCTTATTTTAAGCAGGACTAACCAGACATTATTCTATTACAGCTGCAACAACTCTCAAAAGAGCTATACAAAAGAAAAATGTGGCTTCTACCTCCAAAAGTCATTAGAGATTTTTTTTCTTATTAAGGCACCCAGAACACGTAATATTACACTGAGCCAAAATGACCAGTTCTCCTCCTGGAGCAGAATAGCAATTGGCGGCCATTCATTCAATTCTTACAGCAGTGAGCAAGGACTTGCTTTCTTGTTTTGTTTCTCTTTGAATAGGTGAAGAGGCTGGGTTTTTCCAGAGCTACCTCCCATCACCACAGTCCTGACCCTCGGCCCATGGAGCTGTTAATATGCTGCGCACACATGCTGGGCTCCTAATGGCCAGTGAAGCTAACCTGTCTGTTTACTATAAGCCAACTCCTACCTTGTTAGTGAAATTGACCTTTTTTCTTTCGTAAAATAATAATTTCGTCTGGTACAAAAGCTACATAGATAAGATCCACTGTTTTTTTAAATCCTTTGTTTGTTTGCTTGTTTGTTTGTTTGTTTCAAGTAACTCTATAGCTACTTTGCAAATGCAGTTATTACCTTGTGTGCTGGCATGGGGTCAACTACTGCGACCCGAAATTTACCTTTATTCTCCAAGGCAATTTAATTCCCTTGATTGAACATAGGTGAAAGATTATACTTTTGGAACCAATGATTAATGAGCAAAATATTAGAAGCTATACTACAGGATGCTTTGTCCTAACTGTGTTCAAAGGCACTGCTCTTCTTGCCCCATCATTTTATACTGTAATTGCCCACTAACCATCTAACACTCAAGGTAGGAGCCCCTGAAAGGTAGGAACTGTATCATAGTAACTGCTTCATCTTCAGGGTATGTGGTCTGGAAGATGGTATACAGTCAGTAAGCATTTCCGTTAGTGTTAGGATTACTTTTAATATAAAAGTCTGATTGGGGGGAGGGTACCGGGTATTAAACTCAGGGCCTAGCGCATGTTAAGTATGTGCTCTGTTACTAAGTTATACCTCGAGCCCCAAAAGTCTGATTCTTAATTAGTCTCACTTTTAGACTAAGTGGTATATCTATTACCCACCATTTATGAAATGAATTTTAGTCAGACATTATCCCCCCTTCAGACAGATATGCCCAGCCTCAGATATCTAACAATCTCTACCTAAACACTGAGCATCATGGGAGGCAGCAGAAACAATGCTGAATTTGAAATCTTTGAGACTCTGTGTTCTGATTCCAGACTCTGCCCCATCTACAAGTATCTATGAGTCAGAGAGAGAAATCTCTGGGCCCAGCTCTAAAACAGATGAGGCATGAATTGGTAAGGGTGCTACTGGTACAGTGGTGCTTGCCAACACTAGAGGGAGCTACATTCATGTCATCATGGGACAGTTCAGGAAATTTCAAGTCAAAGCATTCCCCATCCCTTCCCACACACCTGTGTTAGGGATAGAACCCAGCACCTCGAAAACGCTAGGCAAACATTCTACCACTGAGCTACATCCCCAACACAAGAAAATAACTATCTTTAAGTGGAAAACTGACTTGTTAAAATGAGAGAAACTCCGTATCAAATGAGGGATCCATATTGCACATACATACAGCTGCCTGACCCAGAGGCTCCTCAATGCCTGACTTGAATCAACACACTGTTTGGACTTTAATTTTAATTCCATGAGATCTAAGCTGCATTTAAGCCATTCCTAAAGATTTCTTTTCCCACTTAATGTATTTTCTTTCTTAGTCAACAACAACAAAAAGCAAAGTAATTAATCATAGTATTGGAAAATTCCCAAACAAGGGAATAGAAGAGGAAAAAGATTTGTATCACACAGAAACTGTGGTCTGGGAAAACAATGAAATTAACTCCAACTGGATCTAAAGCTACTTCACAAATAAGAAAATACTAGCCAGAGATAGATATATATAGATGACAGATAGCTAGATAGACCAACAGATAGATAGACAGACAGACAGACAGACAGATAGATAGACAGTGGTACATGCCTGCAATCTCAGCTACTCAGGAGGCTAACGCAGGATTCCAAGTTCAAGGCCAGCTTGGGCAACTTACCCACATCCTGGGATAGAGGGAAGAAGAGAGGGAGGGAGGAAAAATAACAAGGAAAGGAAGGAATCAGCACGGCTCTGCAAGGTAAGTGTTAGAATGCCTGCCTAAGTGGATGGCCTATTAGCTCTGTGGGAAGAAGCTCATACATTGCTCAAGGGTGATGTCACCAATTAGAGCAAATGGGGTCACATGAGGCATTTGGTAAGATAACTGTCAAGGGATGGGGTAAGGGAATGGAAGAGGGGTAAGGAAGGAAAAGGAATAAGCATTTTGAAAGTTGAAGCTTAGTCTGATGTTATTATATGCACACTCCTCCATCTCTGAAAAACACCCATGGCCTTGAAAGTGTCTGACCCTAAACCATCATAAAACGAGTAAAATGAAGAATCAAAAATCTCACTCTTGGTATAAACTGTTTCTCTTTGCCCAGAACAACAATGATGTGTTAACCTTATAGAGAGGGCATCAAATAGGGCTGTTACAAAATGTAGTCTGTAGGAGAAAGATAAAAGTAAAACTGAAGAACCCCTTGTATTTGAATTTCATAGATTAATGCAATTCAGAAAAGGAAGGCCTCAACTGTCAGAAATGGACTACCTACTTTTTAGAACATGGATTGCTCCAGACTAAAAATAAATTATAAAGCGACCTTGCAGAATGACTTTGTGGGTGAAGAGAAAAATCTACTAGAACAAGACACACAGTTCTTTTCACTTAAAAAAATGCAAACTCAAGCCTTCAGAGGTTAGAAGAGAGTAAAACTCATTAGGTTCAAATCAATTTATTCCTAGAATCCAAGTAGCTGAGATACGTCATTGCTTCTTAAATCATGAATTTCAAGTACTCTAGAAAGTGCCGAAGTCAAGAAGACTTCTCTCTGTTTTTAAGAATACTAAAAAATTTTAATAGCCTTTCAATCAGTGATCCTCGATGAAAGACATGAGAAGATACACTCTAGTGGTAAAGACAAACAACTTGTTCTCCTCCCTTATTCAGGACACATGCCACAGGAGTTCCAACTCACTCTGCTTCACACTGACCTTTAGAATATTTCGGCCATCAAATGATTCTCTTTCCTTGAAGATGTATTTGCCGTCCGCTGTGTAGAGATTGTACCTGCCTTCAGCTGTAAATATTCCAAAGATAACGTCAGAGGAGAGCTGGGTTATTTACTATTTGTACTCTTGGGTTTCTATAGATACACAAGCACTACTAGCAAAACTTCATGTACTACTTGGAAAATAGCACAATAAGGAGGGAAAAGCAAGCTTTGAATCAAGAGATCTAGCTTCTAATGCCATCTGTCTCCAACTCACTCAACATACATTTGTTCTTTCTATTATCATCTGAGGAGTCACTAGTCACATTCTTAGGCAAATTACGCCTCCTCCACGACCCTCAGTTCTCCAGTTACAAGGCTAGAGGGTGAGACCAGTGCTCTCCAAGCATTCCTTGCCATCTACAAACCCAAGATAAACTACATGCAACGTTAAATGTGTAAATTACAAATGTTTGCAAATTTATTAGTAAAAACTGCCAGTACCCAGACTTTGGGTTTAAGGACTACCCCAAATGAAAAAGAGCCCTTTATAGACTCAAAAGAATCCTTACAGACTCTGACCTTGGTCTAAACAAAGCTGTGCTCTCTACTTATTGAGTTAATTTAGGTTGAATATCCCAAAAGATGTTCTTCAAAGGACAAAAAGAGGAGTAATATAAAAGGAAAGGGTAACAGAGAAAAGAAAAAACAACACATCATTTCATGTCCTTTTTCAGTAAAAATTCAATACAGAGAAGAGTACAGGGAGCAGAAAATTCAAAGCATCATCAAGATGCTTCAAAAATATTCCTATTTCCTCCTTTGAGTATATTCTTTTATTGTTCAGGTCTGGAGAGTACCAGGTCAGAATTGATCTTTAGCTATATATGTGGGGTAACTATGGAACTATTTCTCTAAGAAGCATTCTCCTAATCAAAGACCCCAACCCCAGGCCAGGTACAGTAGCTCATGCCTGTAATCCCAGTTATTTGGGATCACAGTTTGAGACCAGCCTGGACAAAAAGTTAGCAAGACCCCATCTCAACAAACAAGCCAGCCATGGTAGTGACAACTGTAATCCCAGCTATGCAGAAGTGTAGGTAGGAGGACTGTGCTCTGAGGCCAGCCCAAGGGTGCAGGGAAGGGGGGAAGTGCAAGAATCTATCTGAAAAAGAATTAAAGCAAAAAGGGCTCGGGGTATGGCTCAAGTGGTAGAGTGCCTGCCTAGCAAGCATTTGTCCCTGAGTTCAAACCCTAGTACTGCCAAAAAAAACCAGACTCAACTTCCATGTATATTTCATAACCTAAAAATAGGGTCCCTGTTAAGAAAAAGGTTTTGAAAGAACAAGTGAATTAATACCAAATAAATATCAATTAAAAAGCAGAGGGCTGGCTCTTATGTGAGAGCAGGAGTTATTTGTCCTTTTCCCCCCACTTCTCCCTACTTCATCCTGTTATACTAAAACAAGTCCTTGCAAGCTGGGCTACTGGTGGCTCACACCTGTAATCCTAGCTACTTGGGAGGCTGAGATCAGGAGGATCCTGGTTTGAGGCCAGCCTGGGCAAATAGATTAGAGACCCCATCTCCAAAAATAACCACAGCAAAATGGACTGGAGGTGTGGCTCAAGTGGTAGAGTGCCCATCTAGCAAGCATGAAGCCCTTATTTAAACCCCAGTAGTTAATAAATTAATTAACTAAATAAAATAAATCCTTCCTAAAACCTAAAAAAAAAAAGCTGAGTGCTGGGGAGTGTGGCTCAAGTAGAGCACCTGCCTACTACCCAAGGGTCTGAGTTCAAACTCTAGTACTGCCAAAAATAAAAATTACTAGTAAATAAATTTTAAATATTAAAACACAGAAATCATATATAAAGAGTGAAATGTTTAATGACAGGTTCAAGATCTGTAAGTAGTATCAACCATCAGGGAAGTACAAATCAAAATCAAAATTAGATACAACTTTACAGCCACAAGGACAGCTATGATAATAATAATAATAATAATTTAAAAACCCACGCAGACAATAACGAGTACTGGCAAAGACACAGAGAAACTAAAATGTTTGTGCCCTGCTGGTGGGAATGTAAAATGGAGCAATCACTTTGGAAAAAGAGTCTGGCAGTTCCTCAAAATACACAAAGTTTCCACCTGACCCAGCAACCTCATTCCTAGTTATTTAGCCAGGAGAACTGAAAACAGAGGTCCACACAAAAATTTGAATGTTCATAGCAGCATTATTCATGAGTCAAAAGGAAGACAATACACATGGCCACCAACTGATGAATGTGGTAGGCTCACACAATGGAATGTTATTCAACAATAAAAAGAGAAGTACTAATACATGCTATACTTTAGTTTCTCTTCATATCACGTAAACCTTTTTGCCTTTCATCTGCCTCCTGAGTATTGGGACTGCAGGTGCACGCCAACATGCCCCATGAACTTTTTGTTTTGTTTTGTTTTCTTCTGGTGCTGGGGATCAAACCCAGAGTCACATGCTAGGCAAGGACTCTATCACTGAGCTACTCTGCCAGTCCTATCTTTCATCTCTTTTTTGTTTTTTTGCGGTACTGGGGTTTGAACTCAGGGCCTACACCTTGAGCTACTCTGCCAGTCCTATTTTTGTGATGGTTTTTGCAAGATAGGGTCTTGCAAACTATCTTCCTGAACTGGCTTCAAACTGTGATCCTCCTGATCTCTGCCTCCTGAATAGTTAGGGTTACAGGCATGAGCCAGCAGCGCACAGCTTATCTTTCACTTTTTACTAATACATTCTGTAACCTGGGTAAACCATGAAAACATTATGCTAAGTGAAAGCCAGTCACAAAATATCACATACTGCCTGATGTTATTTACAGGAAATACCTAGCATAGGCAAATCATGCAGACAGAAAGTAGACAGGTGGCACGCAGAACTAGGGGTGGGACAAGATGAAATGAGAACTAGGATAGGACAGGACTGACAATGGTTAGGGATGGGGGTCTCTTGTTGAGTGATGGAAATGCTCCACAAATGATATGATGATGTTGTATTAACTCTAAAACTAAAACCCCACCTCCAATCCCTTATGTATGATAGTCAAAAATGTCTCCAGACAATTCCACATATTCTCTGGGGCAAAACAGTCCCCAACTGGGATCCATGTTTATTTTTAATGACTAACCTTACTTTCTTTTTTCTTCTGTTCAATAACAGCACCACAGGTTGCATGGAGGCATACTTATACTAAAAAATACAGTTCAGTGGTAGAGCCCTTGCCTAGCATGTGTGAGGTCCTGGGTTTGATTCCCAGCATCACAAAAATACACAGATGATTTACAATTTACCTGAGCATCCTGTATCTTTTTTATTTTTATTTATTTTTTTGGTGCTGGGAATCAAACCCAGGACCTGGTCCATGAGCTACATTCCTAGCCCTCATCTTGCATTTTTATCTACTAGATCTGGCGATCCTATATGTGACAGAAGTAGACGTGGAAGCCATGGCCCCATGCTGGCTATGTCCCTGTCCATTTCTGCTAGGCTCATCAAAACAAGGTGACAGATCTAAAAGTGAGGCTGTAGCAGACAGTCTTTGATGACCATTCTGTTTAAACCTCTATTTAATACCATAAGGCCCAGCTGATTACAACTGTGCTACAATTCTATGAGAACTTACCATTGGGGTCTTTCCTGAATAGTGTATTCATGACAGTTGCATGCAGTTTCACACTGTTCCACTCTTTCACTATTAGTCCAGATGCCTGAAAGCGTTCCAACACTCGATCAACTAATTCCTGCAGCCTGGAGAAATTGAAAAAAGAAGTGCAGAAATCTCAGTAAACTCTCCTAAACTCCTGACTACTAATTTAACCTATATATGGAGTATCTGCTCTGTGCCAATGTGCAAAACCCTGCATCAGAAAGGAAAAAAGAGATCTGGGCTCCTGCCTGTAATCCTAGCTTCTTGGGAGGCTGAGATCGGGAGGATCATGGTTTGAGGCCAGCCCAGGCAGGGAGCTCGTGAGACAGACCATCTCAACCAACAGTTTTCACACTGCTTGTGAAACAAACAGTGCTTTGTTTGTTTGCTTCGGTGGCACATGCCTGTCAACCCAGTGATGGTGGGAAGCATAAAGTAGGAGAATCTCAGTCCAGGACTGCCTAGGCAAAATGTGAGACCCTATCTCTAAAATAACCAGAGCAAAAAGGGCAGGAGGTGTGGCTCAAGTAATATAGCACTGCCTAGCAAGTGCAAAGCCCCCAGGGTTGAGTTCAAACCCTTGTACGAAATCTTAGCAAAACATTATAAGGAGTGTTAAGGAAGAGACCAACTGTATGTGAGAGGGCTAAGTTTCTACAGTAGGATTAAACATGATCCTGAAGGATCATTAAAGATTCACAAATAGAACCAGGGAAGGAAGGGCATGTTAAGTGAAGCAGAAGTAGCATGTGAATGGATGCTGTGGCATGCAAGATCACAGCATTTATGGAAAACTGCAGATTATTTAACACAACTTAACAGAGTGAGAGAAGAAGGACAATGGAAACAAGCTGAATATACAAGCATGGGAGCCACAGAAAGACTTTTAACAGGGAATGTGTGATCCAATGTCCACTTTGGAAAACTGACTCCATAGCTGAATGACAAATGTTTTCAAGGTAGAAAGGAGAAAGGAAGAAAGCAACAGCAAAGGGATCACTTGGTGACTGCTTCCTTGAAGAAATTATCTTGACTTCTTTTTTTTTTTTTTTTTTTTTGGCAGTACGGGGGTTTGAACTCACAGTCTCATATTTGCAAGGCAGGCACTCTAGCATGTGAGCCACTCCACCAGACCTTCCTTGAAGAAATATCAACAAACACAATGCATCGGGCACTGTGCTAAGCATGCTGCATCCTCATGTCACCAATGAGGAAACCACGGCACAGAGAAGTTATGATACTTCACCAAGATCACTTAAATACTAAGATTCACAATTAGGATACGAAAGGGGTGTAGCTCAGCAGCAGAGTGCATGTGTGACATGCATAAGGCCCTGAGTTCAACCTCCAGACACACACACACACACACACACACACACACACACGGAAATTCTTTAGGGTTAGGGGCACAGCTCAAATGATACAGATTTGCCTAGCAAATGCCAGGCCTGGGTTCAATCCTCATTACAGCAATCAATCAATCAATCAATCAAACTGGGGGTGTAGCTCAGTGATTGAGTGTTTGCCTTGCATGCATGAGGCTCTGGGTTTGATCCGCAGTACCATAAATAGATACATAGATAGATAGAAACTCCCTTAGGATCTGGGGGTACAGTGTACGCTTAGCATATGTAAGGTCCTGGATTCAATCTCAGCACTAAAAACATGTTTTAGCTGAAATTTAAAAATAAATTTAAAAAATGAGAACACACGTAGCCTGGTTTCAGAGGGTATGCTCTTAGGATCACACTATAAACGAGGAAGTGATGAAGCTCTAAGATATGGCAGGGGCAGTGAGAACTGAGAAAAGGGAGTGAAAGGACTGAAAAGTGTTTGTGAGAGAGATGCAGGTGCCCATGCAGACACAGCAGGGTGAAGGGGAGAAAACAGTTCCAGAAATTCCATCTCAGCCAATAAAACCTGGGTGTGGTAGCTTGGGCCTGTCATCCCAGTTATGCAGGAAGCAAAAAGTAGGATGATCACAATCCAGGTCTGCCTGAGCATAAATGCAAGATCCTATCTCAAAAATAACCAAAGCATAAAGGGCTGGGGGAAATGGTTCAAATGACAGAGCACCCAAGCAGCACTACCAAGTCATGGGAGGGAGGATTCAGAGTAAACCAAGAAAAAACTTCAAGCAGAGCCTTATCTCTACTCAGGCAGAGAAGAACTAGCAGAGACAGCTGGGAAGGATAAGGAGACAGGAGAAAATTACAACAGGGAATAATCAGTACAGGGTAACACTAGGGAAAAGTAAAGTAAAAAACATCTTCTCATTTCCCACTGTTGGAGACCTATGTCTACAGTTTTGTTGGCACACTAGAGACAGAAGTCACATGATGGAGAACCAAGGGAAAAACCAGACTGGGGGGTGGAAGGGGTGATAAGTACACATACTTTTTTAAGAAACCTGAAAGGGGGGAGCTGGGAGCATGGCTCAAGGGGTAGAGTACTTGTCTAGTAAGCTTGAGACCCAGAGTTCAATCCCCAGTACCACATACAAAAACAGAAATTTTAAAGGAGCCACCGAGATGGCTCATGCCTATAATCCCAGCTACTCAGGAGGCAGACAGGAAGGAACATGGTTCACATCTCAACCAGTGAGCTGGGCATGGTGTATAGCCCGCTATCATAGCTACATGGTATGCCTAAGTAGGAAATTGAAGTCCAGACCATTCTTGGGTAAAAAATGTGAGATCCTATCAAAAAATAGCTAAGGCAAAAAGGGCATAGGGCATAACTCAAGTGGCAGAGCACCTGCCTAGCATGCATAAAGCCCTGGGTTCAATTCCCAGTATCACAAGAAGAAAAAAAGGAGAGAAACAAATGTGTTCATGTGTTGGTAATGAGAAGACACAGAGTTAAGGAAAGATTAGTTGTGTTTGTCTACAATGAGAAAAAGTTGAAAATATTAATTATACCAAGTAATTTTCCATCAGAGAAGGAAGATGAAACTTGGGAATGGACAGAAGATGATCTCAAAGGAGACAGAAAGAGATGATGTGCTCAGAGGAGATGGGATACACAGGTGAACAAACAAGTGCACGCCCTCAAGCAGCTTTTATTCCAGAGGAAGAAGCCATCCTCAGATAGGCTAAGCTCTGGAAGAAAAGGAAATAGCAAAACAGGAGTAGAACATGATTAGGTGGTGGCAGAGGGTGATAAACTGACATCTGAGCAGAGATCTGAGGGGAAAGCATCCCGGAAGGAGGGAGCAGCATGTGCAGACATCTAAGGCAAGCGTATGTGTGAGATGACTGAGAAATGGTAACAAAGTCACTGCATGGAGTGAAACAAGATGGAAGAAATAAGAAGGGCTCTGGGGCTGCATTTACTGAGTGAGGTAAGGAGCTCTTAAGGGTTTTCTGCAGTAGAATGATGAGATCTGGCTGCTATGTGGAGGACAGTCAGTGGTGGAGGCAGGATGAAAGCAGGAAGGCAGTTATGAAGTTGTCATAGTGGCTGGGGCAGTGGCAGGGGAAGAGGTAAGAGATGACAGATTTCCTGATGCATTACAGTCAAGAGACAGAGGTGATTCTAATAGAACTTTGTCTTTTGATGGAAGGATCAAATGCCAGAGAACACAACACATTCAAAGATTATGAGAAAGTCTATGCAGAGGAAAGGTCAATGACTGAGGCGGAAATGCAGGCTGAAGCCATGCTGTGAAACTGCTGTGGTCAGGCAAGGTGGCAAGCTTATTAAATAAGCCACAGGAAACAAGAAGGGTTTCTTTTTTTTTCCCCTTTTGGTGGTACTAGGATTTGAACTCAGGGTTTTGCACCTGCTGATCTGAACTCAGGGCTCTGCACTTGCTAGCCAAGTGCTCTACTGTTTGAGCCCTGCCTCCAGCCCTTTTTGCTCTGGTTATTTTGGAGATAGAGTCTTACTTTCTGCCCAGGCCAGCCTGGACCATGATCCTATTTTACGCTTCCTGCTGTAGCCATGATGACAGGTGCATGCTACATGCCCAGCTTTTTTCCATTGAGATGGGGCTCTTGTGAAATTTTTGGCTTGGGCTGGCCTGGAGCTATGATCCTCCCAATCTCAGCCTCTCAAGTAGCTAGGATTACAGGCTTGAGCCACTGGCACCTGGCTTCAATGAGGGTTTCTAAGAAGCAAGAAACACAAGGAAAAATTCAAGGCATGAAAACCAGACAAGAGAGATGTCTATTACACCAAAAAAGAGATAAATGTGTGTGTACAAGGTTCTGTGTTTGATTCCTAGCGCGCGCACGCAAACACACACACACACACACACACACACACACACACAACACACACACACACACACACACACCCCAAGAGAGGGAGAGGGTCCTTACACTTATCTTAATTTTTCTGGTCATAAAAGTTATAGGAATTATAGAAAGTACAGAAAAGCATAAAAAGGAAGATATAACCTCATAATCACTCCAGTACTTACCTGTGGATCATAAGGTTATATAAGTAGAAAAACAAATAAGCTATTCTGGGTTTAAAAGTTTCTGGTCAACTAACACCATTACAAAACCATTAAATTTTGAAATATTTCTAAATGTTACAACCTAACTTAAGTCTGAAAGTAAATACACCCTTCAAAACTGAATGGCACTCACTTTTCTGTCAGCTGTTAGGGAAAAACAAGTGCACAGGGATGTCAGCATATAGAAACAGGGAGACAGAAACACAAGAATGAGGAAACTAAACAGAATAACTAAAAGACACCAGTTTCCAGTCATGTCTTCCTCTGTCTTTCAGAGAACTGGGATTTCTGCCAATTTATTGACTCAGAATTTTTAAGGGACTAAGTCCTTTTAAAAGTTCTTGTCTAACCTTCTATTTTTACACAGGAGGAAATGATGCACAGACAGGTGGCATTGCTCAAAGTCAGTGACAGAGAAAACAGAACGCAAGTATCTGGCAGCTGGTTCTGCTCTGCTACCACCTCACTGTGCTCCATGAAGGTTGGCTCTTTGTCTCATTCACTGCTTTATCACTGCACCCAATTGATGTCTAATTGACACATCACCATAGTAATGTATGTAATACTGTTACATACACATGTACCTGAACTCACAACAACAAATTTTTTAGAGGGCTACTAAGAGAACCTATGGGT